GATTTAAGAGACTATAAATTATATTAATTTTGTAAAAAAACTGATTAAATTCTCGACACGATTTTATTAACTTTCTTGTGATCTTATTAAATATTTATTTATGTGTTTATCTTTCTAGTTTGATAAATATGTGAATATCTGGTAACGTACTCTTTTCAGTTTTTAAAATAAATAATCATATATCATTTGCAGATGCAAGGACCCAGTTGAATGTTATTAGCTATTATATAACACCTTATTAATATAATGTCTCGGCTTCGCCGGATCAATTTTATACAAATTAAATGACCACAATAAATGATATAAAGATCGCCAATTCTAGGGCAGAGTACGGAGTAAGCTTGATTAGCAACGGTTTCGGAGTTTTGGCTATGTCGGCTGGTGTGATCGCGAGTCCAGCATTCCAAGAGTTTATACATCATGTACAGCACCACTTTTTCAACAGAAGTCCACACATTGGCACCACAAATAGAAAAAATAAAGCGGTTCCAAAAATTCCCCACGCCCACGCCGGCCAAGAATCTCCTGTGTTACCATCATCTCCAAATCCCGTATTTCTGTGTCTTCCTCCTCTGAACCTCCCACCTCTACTTCCACCTCTACTTCCACCTCTTCCCCCACCCCCCCTACGAGCGGCTTTCACAGGTTCACAACGAGAACGGCTGACACATTTCCCATTAATACAGCAACCACTGGAGCAATAGTTGTTGAATTTTGAGCAACCAGTTTTGACTTGTTTTGCTGGCGAGGTGTTTCTAGTCTCTTCCAATCTATCGTCTTCTTCTTTCGTCTTTTGTGTAATTGTAGGTATTTGCTCGGATACGTTAGCAGGAGATGAGTTTAGAAAGGCACTTGGTCGTGTGAAAGAATGTCTAAAATATTAGTAAAAATCCATATCAGTTTCAAGAGTACTTGAGTTTCAAGAGTACTTGAGTTTCAAGAGCACCGTTTCCTCTAAAACCCGCCTTTCTTGGCAGTTTTTAATCTATCGCGTCTACATGTATTCTAAGCTCGCTTGCGCTCAAACTCCTTCAATGGAAGACGTTCTGACGCCTTTAATAACCTTGCCTGGTTTGTTATGACCAGAAGATATAGTATCAAAAGGCTGAATCCATGAGTGAACTTAGCTGGACAGACGGGATTTCTTTGCAAAATAGATCCTTCTTTTGGGTATATTTTATTCAAGCCACTGCTAGGCTACCATGATTTATAAAATAACTCACTATATTTATTAGCGTAGGCGATTGATCAGAAGAACGTGTCATAATTAGGCATGTGACAGTAATGTGACGGTAGTCTAAAACAAATTGAATATTCTAATAGCACAAACATCCGCTTTCAAAAGCACCTAAATATTAATGCTGATGCATATTATTAAGGGAATGAAATATTTTCGCCAATGTCGGGTAACTCCAGTAGGGTACAGCTAAAAGATAGAAGTGATATTGGGGATAACAAAAACCTTAAAGCTGGTCCCTTAAGCAATGCAGTGTTTATACCACAGAGCACCCGCACCGGATGTTTATGTGCGATTGCGTAAACTTGCGTGATATCGATAGGCGGTGTTAAAAAATTCTATCAGGTTGGAAAAAATATTGCTAAGCCTAAGGTTTAGATTTCACAAACCTTTTCAAAAGGCAACTGCTACACGTTGCATTAACACAGCAGTCTCCGTCGCAATGTTCATCATCTTCACATGATAACCCCAAACATCTCTCACGACAGAGTACATCACCCTCGGGTAAGGTACAACATTTTAACTCACAGTTTTGACCAGGAATACATTCTTTTGCACTGGCCAGTAAAACGAAACAAGATACGACAGTCAACAAATTGAGCAACATGACTTCAGGTGTTGTGCCAGTATTTGATTGTTGGTGGCTTTTATCGGCTGACAACGACCAAAATCTTTACGTCATTGTACGTATTTTGCCCGGAAGGCCCCACTCTCTCAAAGGCGAGGCACAAAAAACCTGACGTAACCAATGCGGAAAGAGATTTCAGTATTTTATATATTATTCATATTGTGATTATTGCGATTCAGCTTTAAAACAGTATTTGTTATGGCTCGCCAAATCAGAACCCTCGCTTTTATTGTGCCCTCTGGTCCCTAGTTTTCTAGTCACAATCCTAGGCGCACGGGCCCAAAAGCAACAGAGCTTTGAACATATTTACAACATTTTCAAGGGAGAAGAAATTGAATGAACCGTACGACAACAACACTTTAGCTGAAGTTTTGAAATTATTCTATATCGAAGAAGTTCGAAAAATTTGAGGGCAACGTCAACGAGGCAAAAGAAGGATTTCAGAAAAAAATCAGTACCCGACTCACGAGTACATTGCCCGACTTATCACTTATTTCGGCAAAAAGTTGCCCGAATTTTGATAGAATTCGATAAGGAACTTATCCAGATGCAAATATTTCTGGGGAGCAACTGCCCGTCCTCGCTTCCGCCTCGTACGTCAATTATCACAATTGCGAATTTAAAGTTTGGAAATTAGAAATTTCGAATAGTTGCAAAGCACATATTCTAGATTTTGGTCACTCAGTTACCGAGATACTGAAAACGATTGTATAAGTAATCACGGCTCACGATATACTTATATAATCGTAAATAAGAATACAGTTCATGACAGACATGACGCTATAATTACTCAGCAACTGGAAGCAGGTTTCAAAAGTCGAACCTCACACATACGTAAATAACAACAGGAAGAAAAGCAATTCTTGGTAAGGAACTGAAAAGGAGCTGAAATACGCTAGGATGTGCGAGCGTCCACGTCCTAATGTTGAATCCATTTGCCTTTAATTGCCTTTGGTACTATGATGACGTTGTTTCTAGCAGCTTTCAGTTGTTAATGTAAATTCGTTGCATCCGGAAGCCCCCTTTCCACCAGAAAATTAAATCTGAGTTGTTATGATTTGACCAATGAATGTTTTTGACCTCCAGACTTAAGACGGATTTCCACTGTCTGGTTATTTTCTTTCTACGGGCGTGTACTCATGTCAAAGTTTAAGGCGTCTGTGTTGTAATATGATTAATTTTACACAAACAAAACGTAGCTCAAGTCTACTCATTTGTAGCCCCAATTTTCTTTTCTGTCTCCTTCCGAATTCCCCCATGCTTTTGCCCCAAAAATTTTTCATGTTAGTGATGTTGTCTATAAGTAGTTTGTAGTTTTATGTGATCTTTGCTTATAGGATCTTCTCTTTGGCACCCAATTCCGCCCCTATTTTATTAAACCCGGCGCCGTCACTGCCAGCCACACTACAAATGTTTCTTGCAAGCAGCTGGTGAGCGACATCGCCATTGTCGTAATCTCAGATCAATGCATGTTAATTACAGCACTTTATCAATCTAATTAAAATACTCAAAATGAAAATCCCTTCGAAAATTTCCCATACCCAGACGGGCGGACTCTCGCCATCGCTCTTTCCACCTCCTACTCCGCCACCCCTACCCCTTCACCTCTCCTCCCCCCTCCCCTACCACCGCGAGCAGCATTCACAGGTTCACACTGCGAGCGGTGGTCACATCTCCCATTAATACAACATCCAGTCTGGCGATGGTTTTTAAATTTTGAACAGCCATTTTTGACCTGTTTCGTCGGCGAAGTGAATATAGATTCTTTGAATCCATGTTTTCGATCCATCGTCTCCCCCCTCCGTAGTTGGTAGCACTTTCTCGAGTTCGGTATCAGACTGAGTGGAATTTAGAACAGCACTTGGGCGTGATAAAGAAAGTCTGTAATACTAAGAAAAATCAGTATGAGTGGTCATCTAGTAACATTAATCCTGCAGTTAATTAACGGGGAAAACTGTCTAAATCTTCTATACTGGTCAATTAGTATATTTTGCCTAAATGAATTTCACTAAGCCGGTACATTGTGAAGGGAGTTTAAGGGAAGGAGAGCAGGTTTTGGTGAAAGGTCACTTCAGTATTGATGCTCTGAAATCTTGTAAAACATCAGTGGCTGAACCTCATAACTCGTGGTATGATCTCTGCCAATGCATTATACTATTCTTGTTCGCATGCAGCCTAACGTTGTCTAAAGCGTTGAACAGATTAAATAAAAACCTTTTTTGACTTGATGATTCGTGGACAAATCACCTTGCGTGTTCTAATATCAAGCTGGTTACGGACAATACCCTCGACGGTTCTAAGGTTATAGATAGTCATAGAACAATGCAGCCAATGAGCTCCAGTATGGTGGCCGATCGCTATCATTCATATTTTTGTTAATAATAGAAACAAAATAATATCTATACGTATTTTAAATGCTAATATGCCAGACTTTCCGCACAGGAAATAGCGCGCAATGCTTTATGGTATACTGTGATAGCGCTAGGCCGATAAAATTTCAATTTCATTTTTTTTGCATTTTATTGTGATTTATCTTTTAAAGTCATGTGAAATTTCAAATGAATTTTGATAGCGCTAGGCCGATAAAATTTCACTTCATATTCACTTCTATTTGCAATTGTAAAATCATTTGATTCTCGTTTTGATTTTGATTTAATTTTGATTCTTGTTTTGATTTTGATTCTCATTTTGATTTGATTTTGATTATTATTTTCAAATCGTTTATCAATTGAAATGCAATTTGTAATCTGTTTACATTTAAAATACGTATAGATATTATTTTGTTTCTTTTATTAACAAAAATATGAATGATAGCGATCGGCCACCATACTCCAGCCAAGAAAAGCACAATCGTCAGGCGAAAAGCCCACTGGCATTCAGGGCCCTGGCACTGAAATTGTCTAACCAAAAGAAAACACAATAACGGAAGTTTATATTAACTGGGATGTTTTGGGAACTCTTTCAACGACAAAGTCGACCGTCGACGTTTTGTTTCGCGTATAACAGGGAAAATTTTTTAGCCTTATAACAGGCCATCAATGTTCTCTTGATACATGAAGTAGCACAGCAGGCATGTAAACACATTGGCAGTAAGGAATGCGGTCGCGTGTGATAGATTAAGCTTGATTCCTTGAGTCCTTGACAACGAAAGGAAAATGGCACGCTACTATAGAGTCGAAGTATTTGTGATCTTCGAGATCTATTTAAATATTTGCACGTAAATCGCTTTAGGAAAAGCGTAATCGTATTTCAAGGTGAGTTCTTGGGTACCTTGTGAGTGAGTTGTGAGTGCTTTTTAATTTATACACGTATAGCATGATCGTCGGTTGATTAATTTTATATGACTGTTTATTGTGCTTACTTTTTATTCTAATTTGTTGCAAAATTGTTTAGAACGTATTAAAATGTTGCGAAATGTGTTACATTTCATATCTGGAAACAGTTGTCTGTGCTCGCCGGTCGAGGATACAAGTTTGAATTGAATACTGCATATTTCTTCATGGTATATAGAGAAATGGGATAGGCGGCATGCCTAGCTGAATAATTTGCTCTGAGAATATGGTTGGTTGGCTTATTGAGATTCGTTTTGGTCCTATGTTTTAAACCGTTGTAATAATATCAAGCACTTGTTTGCTTTCAGGAAGGCAGCCAACAATTTCAAAGTATGCTGGATAATGTTTTGTTGAAAAGAGGAATAGTATCTCTGACAGGTATATATACCTGGTACATATAAATGTTAATAGTATAAATGTTATAAGTGTTACGGGGTCCTGTTCGTTGCCTTTCAGTCGTAGGGGTGGAGGGAGGCACTGACTCCCAGAAACATTTAAGTCTAGAAAAGTTGGCAACAAATCAGTGATAAGTTGGGAAATTTGTATTTGTGACTTGGGTAATTTAGGCTGTTCAAATCACTTGCCTGACTCCCCCTACTCCTGCCTAAATTTTTGGGCTATATGCCTATACTTTCAATGCATTGGACAATTAGAATATGCACTTAACGTTTCCTCCAGGAAGCAAACTTAACTGAGATGTTCTTTTGTTATTTATTTTAAGGTTCAAAAGATGCCGTTGGATGCCATGTTATATCATTTCAAACTCAGCAACAGTTGCTGTTTACACAAATTGGTCATTCAAGTTTGACTGAATTACTTCATATTGTTGTGACATATTATGAAAGGTTAGCATCACCATAACTATATGGGTACAATTATAAAATTTGTGTATAGAATTAGACTATGTTAGCATCTAAATACTCCTGTACATTATTAAAAACTATAGTATGAAATTACAATGCCTTCCTTACTCTACTCTACATTATACATTACAAGTGCTTCAGGAACTAATTAGTATACAGTGAAATTTTGCTTAATGAAAAAATTATAACCATGCGCAGACAGCTAGCTTGCTGGTTGTTCTAAAAGTTTATGTCACATATTTACATAATGAACAACTAGTTTGCCAAATTAGAGGATTTTTGATGTTATTTTGTATCTGCAATGTATATTCCTTAAAATATTATGAATATCAAATACCGAATATCTTAAACCATTTTTGTTAAATCATTTATGTGCTTCTGATCAAATATGAGTTAAATGTTTTTATTATTGTGGGACATGAATAATTTAACATCATCATGTCCCATAATGTTATTAGTATACAGTAGATCTATAATGGACAAAATTGGCTTATACCTTTAAAATCATGATTGTGGTCAATGGTCATATCCTACTTTTCTCAATAGCTTCTCAATTTCTCAATAGGCAGCACATCCAGTACACATCAATCATATATACATAAGATAATATGACTCAAATGCATTGGCTGGGCTGCCTATGGAGAAACAATTTCTTAATGAATTCCCATGCATGCATGTGACCAAAAATATATGTAACTGATTTTATTATTATTAATCTCATTAATACCATTCTATTATTAATCATATTCCACTTTTCTCAATAGCTGGAGAAACCATAGGCAGCACATCCAGTACACATCAATCATATATACATAAGATAATATGACTCAAATGCATTGGCTGGGCTGCCTATGGAGATTTAATTTCTTAATAAATTCCCATGTGTGCATGTGACCAAGAATATATGTAACTGATTTTATTATTATTAATCCCATTAATACCATTCTATTATTAATCATATCCCACTTTTCTCAATAGCTGGAGAAACCATAGGCAGCACATCCAGTACACATCAATCATATATACATAAGATAATATGACTCAAATGCATTGGCTGGGCTGCCTATGGAGAAACAATTTCTTAATAAATTCCCATGCGTGCATGCATGTGACCAAGAATATATGTAACTCATTTTATCACTATTAATCCCATTAATACCATTCTATTATTAATCATATCCCACTTTTCTCAATAGCTGGAGAAACCATAGGCAGCACATCCAGTACACATCAATCATATATACATAAGATAATATGACTCAACTGCATATTGGCTGGGCTGCCTATGGAGAAACAATTTCTTAAATATCAGTGTGTGCATGCATGTGACCTGGAAATTATGTAACTCATTTTATTATTATTAATTCTTTCATATTCTTTTAACTATCATACTCTCACAGGGTCTCAATTCAATTACATGTTCTGGATGTATATATTTACTGCATCTAACACCAGTAACATAACCTAACATCAAAATAATGTGGTATAGCAACAGCCTAAAATAGAGCAACACTTCTCAACGTTTCTATCTGGGGGCCTTTGTCAGGACTCAGCAGAGTTAGTGTATGAGCTAGAAAAAAATAAAATAAACTCAATGATTTCTTCCTTTCTGGAATAATTTAGTGCGTTGGTGTCATTCTTGGTGAATATGAGTCACTCCACTCCATTGTTTATTGATAAATTTATTCATGTTATTCATCAACTTGAGGTAAGCTTTGAGTTTTGAACTAGCTGACTTGAACTGTTTTGAAAATATATATATAAATTTACTTGATCGAGAAATTCTGTCTAGTGAAATTTAATAAAACCACGCTGAGATCAACTTCAAGTATTTGACGAACCACACAATTCTCGTGAAGACAAGTATTTTTTTTAAAATTATGCTCTCAATTAATTTCTTGATCCATGATTTCGACTGGTTTTCATATGTCGCTTTCCGCTGACAATGTATCGTAGAGCATTATCATTAAAACTTAAAAGCGACGTATAAAAAAGTGTTTATATTGTCAGATGAAATTGTCAGTTGTCACATCCATTTTGCGTGCTAATTTTCGGGACACGCTCGAAGCGTTACCACGTGCACGCATGCAGCCGTGGAAGATTGGAGATACCAGTTTCCTTGTACTGTGAATCAGCTTCTAGACACATCAAAGATATTTGAAATTGTATCTTGGAATATTTACAGTAGAATTTACAATGTTTGCGTCTTTGCGGAGTATTTGCCGCTTTCAAATCCCGCGCGAAACACGTGTGTGCTCGCAGGCTATTAGGCCCATTTTCCGTGACCTAATGCTTTCGATTGTTTGGGGTTCGGTTTCGATTAGTTCCGGGGGAAAAATCCGCCCCTGTTCACGAAAGTTTATTAATTTTTGTGAATATTCGATTAAAATTCGTTTAAACCGTTTTATTCTCAGGGAGTGATGTCCGAAAGGAGGATAAAAAGGGTATACGTGATTAGGCCGGAACGAAAACCAATCCGAAAACATTTCTTAAAAGAGTTGGGTAACATCAACAACGAAAATACAAGAAATAATGCTCAGGTATGATGTGATGGAATGTTAAAATTGCGAACAAGTTGAATCATTCTATATTGAGTTTAAATTTGAAATCATATGAGATGAACGCAATTGAATCACGGGCAATGCAGTTTCTGCTTATATCAATAACAGATTATATTCCATACAACAGATTCGACAGAATTAGATCATTTTAAAGCGGGTTGCAGTCCGTAATGTAAACAAACGCTTTGTTTACATTTTGAATCTATATATTTCCGTATATCTATATATACGAAACATATGAAATTTGAAGAATTTTGAAACAAGTAGCTACCCATTGTTATGCATGAGCAGAACCGATTCGCAGAAGTGACTCTAACCTCCTTTTAACATTCCTTGTTACGCGAAATCGTTTTTTAGCCAAATTTAATTACATTTTAACTTATAATATAAAAACTATACATACAATACCGTTGCTTCAAAAGATTGTTCGCTGGTGTAATGCTGGAAAACTCCTTTAAAAATTTGTCTTACAGATTAAACAATTACTTGACGCCTTCATGGTTTCCGTGTTTGGATGGCCTGATCCAAACACGCTGGAATGTTGCGAGAGTTAAGAAAAGCGCGCGAAACACGAACCGAAGGCAGATGATTTTGCGAGCTTTTTTAGCAACATCCCTGCGTGTTTGGATCAGGTCATCAAAACACAGGAAACTATGTTTTATAATATAACAACAGCAAGGTGGTGTTTCAAGTTGGATTTCCATGCGCGAATTAAATTTCCGTGTTTGGATGGCCTGATCTAAACGCGGACTTCGATTAATCATAACACATGATATACATCTTATTTTATGATATCAATTCCATCCGGCTTTACTATAGCCTAGGAAAACACTTCATGTACTCAAATGATGCAGCGCCGTAGCCACGCCTTCAAATGGAGACCTTGCACACAAGAGGTGAAAACCTTGAAGGCTTGAAAGCATTTTGGCCTTAAACTTTGATTTTTTCTCAGGTTATTGTCGTGAAGTCATTTGAAGAACTATATCAATATATAAAACAACGTGACTTGACCCTTGAATATGGTGGAACATTGCAACATGACCACAATGCCTGGTTGGCCGTACAAAAGGTATTTGAATTGCCGTATATAGTGATATATTATGTAACACTTGGTTAACAAACGCTGACGTTTATTGTCAAAAATATTTAGAACTACAAAAAGTTACTTCAATATATAGGCGAAAGTAGAGGGGGAGGGGGGCAAATAGAAAGTCTATCGTATCAACTTGGTTAGCGTGGTAAGTATATGGAACCTAATAATATTCTTGTAATTTTGCATGGTGATATCAAAATAAGTAAATTAGCTCGTAGCGGTACACCACGTAGCTGCCACTTAATATCACGTTTGTCGTTATTTGTTTGCTCGCGTTATTAATTTTTTGCAGAAATCTTAGTGCCCGTTCACACTTAACTCGCTTGTAAATCGATTTAGTTCATTCGAATTCCATTCGATTTCGATTGGTTTTAAAACCTGAATTGCCTGACTGATTCGTATCAATTGGTGTATGCATTCTCACTGTGAAACGAATCAGATTAATTCACCACCTCTTGTGGTCTACTTTAATTCGGTTCGAATTCGTTTTCGCTTCGCTTGCGACTGTTCATACTTACCTCATTCGGACTCGAATCGATTCCAAATCGATTTAAAAACGTTAGCGTGAACGGGCCCTTATATAATATACGTTTATTACCACTACTGACACTAGGGAATTTTAAAATAATAAGATCATGCATTAATTAATACTAAGTAATAGTTCCACAGACTATTTACAAAAATTACTTACAATTGCTAATGTTTGAGTTCCATTCAAACAAAGTAATATGATTAGTTGATGCAATGAACACAGTCCTCCAAACATACACCTGCACCATACTAACTTGAAGTAAAGGCGATCTTTTATCTTTTTTTGTTTGCTCACGCTATAAATGAAACGGTTTTGCTTACGAAACAATTATGAAAGTGAAATAGTTGGAATTAATTAATTAATTAATGCGCGCGTCACAGAATAGTATTCAGCTAGCTCATTGAAAAGAGCACGCCACGTACTTTTGAGTGGCTTTACTCCCTATTGGGCTGTTGAGCGATAGTTTGATGTTTGTATACGTCAATAGATTCTCTCATTTTACGAGAGACGATATACTTATATCATTCGCTAAAATGGTTGCATCTCTGCATTTAATGCGATGATTATAAGTCCAGGCACTCATGGTGAGCTACAGCAGACTTATCCAGTTTACCTTTCTCGCAGTTCGTCTTATGTTCTTTTAAGGCTAGTTTCCACTCAGGAAAATTCTCCTTTGGATCGGACAGGACTGGAAAGTTTTCTTTGTACAAACGCCGCCTGAGAACTCGCCGACAAAGGAAATTTTCCTGTCCATTCCGATCCAAAGCAGATTTTTCCGGAGTGGAAACTAGCCTTTAGAAACGTATTGAGAGATTTCTACTGGTCTCTCTATTGTAAACCAAACCACATGCACATGGAATGCGGTACACACCAGGTTTCTGAAGTTCATCGACGCCATCCATGTGCGTGTAAAGAGCGCGAAACAATTTGTTATTGCTTGAACTTTAATTCCAACTTCGTTTAAAATCCTAACGATTTTATACGAAGCTGAACCGATAAATGGCAAAACGACAGAGCAGATATCCAATGTCTTGTTTCTGCATGTCTGCTGTCATTCATAGTATGAATTCCCGAGGATAACCATACATGCATTGAACATTATTCAAATGCTCAGTAATATTTAAATCGCAAATTGTTTTAACATGCACGGTTGATTGATGTTTTTCCACACTGATCTTTTAGGATGGTGAAATGAATTATAATTCAGATATATGTGAGTGTGTATTGGTTTTCTATAAACTTTATATGACCCAAAGTCCTGTCCTCTTTTATATCAAATAAGATATCTAAGAATGATATATGGAGTTATTCTAATGTGAACTTATTTTTGTCTAAAAACGTGTTTTTGTCTAAAAACCATGCGATAAACTACTTAATGTGTCATCTACATATATCTAAACCAGAAACCAGGTTTTAAACATGCTGTAGCTAGAGCTTTCTTTTCAAATTCTTCCACGACTACCCATTGCAGTACCATAAGTTTGCTCGTAGTATTCATCCCGCCACTGAAAACTATGGTAGTATTTAAGCACGATTTCAGCAGTTCATATATACTCTCGGGAGAAAGGCTAGTCCTTTCAGAGAGGGTTTCATCTGAAAGCAACCTGTCTTTCGCAATGCTACGCCTCATCTACTGGTACACAAGTAAATAAACTAACTCTACAATTTCACTTTCACCTAATTTAACATTTTGCATATTCGCAACAATTCTTTAGAATTATAAGTGTTCTGCTAGACCACGAACATTAGCTAAATGATAAGTCTGTAAACCTTGAGAGGCAACTATAGGTCTAAGAGTTATACCAGATTTATGTATTTTAGGTAAACCATATACACATGCACTAAATGAGCGCAAAGGTTTTGACACAAAATACCTGATTTTCTAAACTCAGATAGTTTAGAACATATTTTGCGATCATTATTTGCTGTGGGGTAACGTTTAAGCTCTTTATATATTGGAGTTTCAAGAAGAACACGAATTTTACCTTCATTTTCTAAACGATTTAATAAAACCGTTGCGTTTCCCGTGTCAGCCTTTTAGAATATATGTATAGACGTATCTGACCTTATAGGTTCCTCAAAGCTTCCTTTTGTTCTTCGAAAAGATTAGATTTGTGTAGAGTTGTACTTCACACAACCTCGGTTACTTCAACGCGATATCACCCCTGAGATTATTCAACTTTGGTTGCAGATTTTAAACGAATTCTTCTTTAGGAATCTTAGGTAGCAGAGTGCCAAGACTTATTCTTCACCGGCGTGAGTTTTCGCGCACATTGATTGACAACAGAGCATCGTAGTGTGTGCGCTATTTGCCAAATCGTGTTGTCTTCTTTTATTTGTTGATCCTCTGGACGTCAATCTTGTGTATTTGGGGTATTTGTATCTGTCAAAAAGATGAAGTCGTTAGGATTTTAAAGGAAGTTGCAATTAAAGTTGCACACATTCAAGCAATAACAGTTTCTCACGCGCTCTTTAAACTCGCAAGGATGGCGTCGATGAACATCAGAACCTGGCGCATAAGACGAACTGGGAGAAAGGTAAACTAGATAAGTCTTCCGCGTGGACTTATGACCATCGTATTAAACAACATCGAACTAGAGAAAAAGCCACTCAATAGTACGTGGCGTGCTCTTTTCAATCTTGGTTAGCTGAATGCTTGTCTGTGACGTGCGCATAATTAATTAATTAGTTAATTAACTGTACTCTTTGGCAAATGCTCTAATTACTCCAATTTCATTGGCGATATGAGCATAAATTGCACCCTTTGCAAGTTTTAATTGCACCCCTGGTCATATTTTGTAAATCCTCGTACATGATTTTGGCATTAATTGCACTCCTGTTTGTTCTATCACCATTATTAATACTATTTCACTTTCAGTATTAATTCGTAAGTGAAACCGTTTAATTAATAGGAAAAATCACGACGAACGTGATATTTAAGTGACGTGTAAATGTGTTCTCACGTATTGCACTGATGAAGGCCTGGGTTAACGGACCGAAAGCTTTGCAGTATTAAATACTTACGTGGTGTACCTAAAACCTAATTTAATTGAATACTTACCATTTACCTTGGGGAATCGGAAAGCAAATGGCGAATGGAGTTTCCATACGAGCGTTCGGAAATTTCCCATGGAAACTCCTTCTACCATGCTTTGCACTTTCTTTGCGCGTTTGCACTTTCCCATCGCAATTTCTGTTTCCCCAAAGAAAATGGTCACATCCCAGGTAATTTTTATAACCGATTATCTTTCATGACGAGCCAGTTCAGCCTGAAGAAAAAACCTGATTATCTTTACATGTACGCCGAGTTTAACTGTACCGGATAATAATCAAGTTTTACATGCAGCAGTTATTGGGTTTTACATGCACGAGTTCATAAACAATGAATGCCATAATTGTATTCATAACATGAAATTCCTTTTCAAACAGACTTTAATACAGTTCTATCTTCTGGTAAATAATCTTGCGAAAACGTCGGCTGACGTCACAAATAGAATACGCGACCTTACATCAGGAGGGTTTGGAACTAAAGCCTCGGAAAGGTCTACGGAGAATGCACAAAAAAAACGAGTCCGAAAAGCTGAAAAGAAGAAGAATGAAATTTTGAGGTAATTAGATATTAAGCTAATAAAACATCTAGCCTAGCATGTAGCCTCAGTATGTAACTAAATCTTGAAACCAGAGCCCGCGATCCATCGGGGAAAGGAGATTGTCAAATTGCCAAAATTGATTACTAAGATTAGGACCCTCTAAATCACAATAGCCAGAAAATATGATGATTTTATAATTCTCTTCTTTATTCTCATCTGCATTTATTTCGGTCAGGTTTGAAATTTTTCATGTTTAGACGAGATGTTTTTATTTTAGGCAGTACAACGTTACTTATGCGCTGGAAAACGGCCAAAAATTACAATCGTATTTTGAAAATCCAAAGTTGGAGGAAAATTTTCAAACCCTGTCCAAATCACCTGTTTTTCAACGAGACAAAGCAGTATTTCAGCAGTACTACCGCAAGCTGTTGGCTTTGCGTGATGGTTTTGAGCATGCGTGGAAAGAAGCTGTGGGTAAATTGAGGTCATTCGCACCCGAACAAGAATTGTATAACCGCCTTATTGAGGTGCGGTGAGAATGTTTGAAGAATGGTAATCCGGCGGCTTAAAACAAATCTCCCGTTCCATTGCGTTTCTCATTCCATTATTTTTTCTGTAATATAACATTTATTGTACGCACGTGCTGATTGGTCGAGAAGCGTGTTTCTATAGCTGTTATAAATGTATAGAAGCACGGGACTTTTCCCGCCGAAATTGACAAGCGAAGTAATGTAATGAGAATTTGTAATTGAATCAAAGCAATAAAGAACATTTCTTCTTGTGTTTATATACAGCGAATCTAACGATTAGTGTTTTCGGCACAAGTTATGTATCACGAATAGAAATCGGAATTTCTCGCGATAATCTCCAAAAAAACAGTGTAAAAAGAACAAAATACTATTAATTCTCCACAAACAGGGACCGCGCTTATTTGTCGTTTGTAACTTAGGGTGAACCTCGAATATTGTTCTGTAGATTTTTTAATGCTTCGTTCGGATTCTTATAAATTAATCAAACGTGAATAGCTTTACATTCATTGACTGAGCCGGAATGCTAGAAATTATGATGTGGTATCAGCGACAGTTCATCATCAGTTTGCTAATGATTGGATATCAAAGTGATGATAAGTTTGATAAATCTTTCAGTGTTGTACGTGGATTGTTGAAGAAGGTCTGCCCTATCTGTCGCCAGTTCCTACTCAGAGCAAGACGCTGGCTGAAGCTGTAAAACAAAAGAATAACTTCGAGAATGAATTCTACAAACCCGTGAAGGTAGGGTTGATTTTATTTATTTTGCGAAAAATGTAATATCGTGACAATACCCCTTTGTATCCCTGGTGCTTGTATTTTTGCGTGCACAATCGAATCCCCTACAGGTTTGTGGTGTGTGTGCCTTTAATGCTTATCATTAACATACGTGGGAATACCAAAAGCAAGTGAGATAGATGAGTCTACCTAGCTTTTTAATCGCACTTGATCTTCGAATCAATTTCTTGGTAATTTTATTCTATAGGTGATGCTGAGAAAATCCCGTCACACGTTGAAAGAAGTGCGCCAATATCAGCGCTCACTGCGCACGCCCAATGGCAGCCTCGATCTCATGGCTGATAACTTAACTCAATTGATGGAAAACATTACGAAAAAGTCGGAACTGAGATTGAAACATTATACTAGCGAAAAAGATTTTATGCACGTATTCCGCAAGGTATATAATTGTTTTCATACTATTAGATACAAGAAAACCTCTCCAGGTTTCGACCTATAAGAATCTTCGTCATGAGAGTTCGCCAAAGACGCTGAGATCGAAACATGTCAAACAAGATTAATTATTTGCATGTCTCAGACAGTTACTGTTGAATAATCATATTGGAAAAGGGTTTATATTGGATTGATAAGAAATGGCCTGTTCAATTCCTAGCTTCAATCACACTCGAATTGAAGACCATTGACGCTCCAGAGGTTATTCCTCTTCAAGTGAAGTACCACGAAATTTAATTAGTTAGTTTTAGTTTAATTTCTTCCTGTTCTGTGGTCATATTGTAGGCAGAAAGTTGGTACGAGAAAGCTAGTGATCTCTGCCCAATGAATCCTCTCCCAATGATCACACAAGAAAATACTCATCTTTCCACATCGAGAATTGTTGATCCAAAGATTGCAAACTTTCTGGAAAAGTATCCTCCACTGACCCGAGAGGAATTCGGTAAATTGCTGGAATATGTGGAGCAAATCGACGACCTGGAACTTCGTAACCGTGTTCGGTTGCTAGGTAACCGTTGCCAAGAAATGGAAAAAATGTTAAATGCTCACCAGTCGCAACATGGTGATTTTAGCGACGAAGAGGAGAGGTATATGTTGTATTTAAATTTTTGAAATTCTTCCAATCATTGCGCGGTATTTTGATCACATGTATACATCTGCACTGCATAAAGGTATTATGAATTAGTAATCCGAATATTAACTTTGATACAACCAATCTTAATTAGCTTTATCCATATGATATACAACCAATCTTAATTACACAATCCGTATACAGGGTGTCTCAAAAAAACGCAACCACTTAAATATGCAAGAATATTAATATTGTTCGGGTTTGCACCATAGTTCAGCTAAAATGACTTTTAGCATTGTAAATGAAGGATTAAGAGCCATTTTAAGAGGATTAAGAGGTGCTTATCTACAGAGTTGAGCTTTAGAGCTGTATTAATGTTCTTGCATATTTAAGTTGTTGCGTTTTTTTTGAGACACCCTGTATAACTTTATTAGACAGTTAGCTTGATGTTAATATGCATTAGGTTTAATTTATTCATTTCACAAGCACGTTAAATACTCGTAGCTGATCTGTATGGTATATACAATAGCCATTGTAAATTCCCATACAGATCGGCCGCTCGTATTTTAACTAGAACTAATTCATTTCACGGACATTCGACGAATGTTGTAAAATTAGGAAAGTATTATATTTTGTAACACGAAAGAAATTTTCAAGCCATGTCTTGTCCATATCACGCCACCATACTTTTGTATTGCCATAGATTTTATATCCTTATCTTTTTATGCTTGCTTAAATGTTTGTTTATAAATAATTGTGAGCAGTATTTTTTTTCCTTTTTTGTCCGTTGTTCATGACCAACGGTGTTTTAAGCCTGCCATGCACATGCTATTTTTTATTCGAGAAACTTTGTTTTTTCATCTTCAATCTTTTGTCGATTTACAGCTTAGACCTGGAATCGTCTAGTGGTCAAAAACGACCATCGTCCGGTCGAAACTCGTCGCTTCAACGTTCCACGCAGAAGGACAACAATAAATTACCTTTACATTCAACAATTTCCACAGATTTTTCAACAAAACGCTGGCATGATGACGTCATGAGCTCGACTACCGTCTCGAATGATGACATCGTTAACTCAAGGTCTGGGACGGAGGATTTTGGGACTGGGATGGATAATTCACGCTTGGCTGATATTCAGAGAAGGCTTCGTGATCAGGAGTTACTGTATGAACAGTTAATACTGGAACAGGAAATCAGAGAGCTCGCCGAGGAAAAATCGAGTCCTAACAAACCAGAGGTTTCCCTTAGTTCTAGTTATGAGAGAGCTGGAAGCCCTCGTGCCACTAAGAGAGCTGTTGTAGATTTTGACGACAAAGGAAAGATTAGTAGAACTTCATTACGAAATGAGGATGTGCCATTTACATCCAGTTTAAACCGGAATGCCGAGATAGGAAGTCTAGGCACTGTCGTTAATGATTATCATACCGGTAAGGCATTTAGGAATAGGCGTTCTGAGTCGCTGCAAAGAAAATCTAGGAAAGGAAAACATAGATCAATTGCTTCTGATTTGAACGTAAGCCGCAGTGCTGTGATTGAAAACATAGACCCCATTCTTAACGGTAATGTTTCTGCAATTGGTGGCATAAACCAACCTAGAAATATAGGCGCTGATCAAACAAAACTGGAATTTGGTTTGCTCCCAGTTGATACTGAACTATCAGACAAAGAAAATCGTGGTAATTTAACAACCTCAACGCGAAGAGAGAATCAGGGAGAAATAAATTTGCTTTCACCTATCGATTTGTTGGATGGGTGCAATAGTTTAAAACGTCTGTGCAACCTTGAAATCCCTTCTCCCCAAAATAATACCTTCACAACATTCGAGAAGTATTATAGTCCGGGTGAATCAGTATCTACGAGTAATTCTAGCTTAATACCACCAGATGGCAACGTTAACACCTCCCCAGTAGTGTCATCTGAATCAAGAAACCGATCAGATGATCCTGAAGATTGTGTAAACAATTCGGAAAATTCACGTGATGTCGAGTTTCATTCACATGAAGTGGAGGTATTTGAACCTGATTCTGGAAGTCATTCTGGTCTACTTGACTATGAATTTGAAGAAGTTGAAAATTCATCAACTAAAGCTGCTGATATGTGCATAGCACAAGATTCTGAAAACAGTTCACATGGTCGTTTACGTGATCCAGAAAATAGTTCACGTGATGTTGAGTGTTATTCTAGTGATTCGAGAACTTCATCACGTGAAGTGGAAAATGTATCCAATGACAGTTCACGTGAAGAACTTCTGAAGGCTGCTAGTGAAGCAGCTAACCACTGGACAAATATAAAGAATAAACATCGAGCGCGCTTGACGCAAATCGTCGATAATATTTCGACAAGAAAAGAAATAGAAAAGGCATATTTTAATGCGCAAATACAACTTTGCCGGGCGAGACAGAGTATTGTCACGTTAAATGAATCAGGCGGTCATGCGGAACTTTCTTCAGAAAATGTTGTAAATGGCAATATGGCATCATCGTTTAACATCTCTTTAAAAATCCCCGACAGCGAGGATAAAACGTTCGATGGTAATGGAGCATTCCGAAAATATATCAGGGATTTTAGTGACGATAAAACAAACACGAATTGGCAGGAGAATGCAAAGGATACATTGCTGGGTACGAAGAAGGAAGAGGGTGAGATTGGGGTTGAAGGAAACACTAAAACTGATGCTGGACATGATACAGGTGAACCATTTGAGTCAAAGGATACCTCTGAGGAATTCACTGCTTCGCAAAATCTTCAAGGTGACGGAGTGTTGCAAGAGAATTGTAAAGAATTTGATTCCGAGCTGGAGGCTAGTGATGAGTTTGATGATAACGTAGATGAAGAGGAGTTGATGTTGTTATGCAGTCAGTCGTCCAGCGGTATGTTGAATCAAGAAGAACTGAAAGAAAGTTTGCGTGAAGAGCAGGCAAGACTCGAGGATAAGTTCCGGCAGCAAAAAGAGCAATTGCGACTCGAACGAGAAAAACTAATTGAAGGTGATAAGAATATTCACGAACAGGAAAGTAAGAACTTAGAAATAGGAGAAATAGAAAACCAGGAGCTTTTACAAAATATTGAGAGCATTGGCAGTTATCCTTTAGGCAAGTTTAGTAAAGGCACAAAGATTGATTTTCATCGAGGAAATATGCCAATGGAACTCAATCTACCTCAACCAAACACAGATAGCTATGATTCGCCGGAGCGTGAGGAACTGCGTTCACATTGCGCAATACCATCACCTGTTCACGAGGCACCGTCACCGCGCTACGAGATTCCCTCTTTAAATTCCGAATTTCCTTCACCACCACACGAAACACTCACTGAACGGAACGAAATGTCTTTCCCACAGCGCGAAACATTCCCAACACAGCACGAAATAGCTTCATCACATCATGTAATACCTTCACTCCACCCCGAGATACCTTCACTGCAGGACGAAATGACAGCTCCCAACGAAGAACTTTTGCCACAACATGAACCATACACACCACAAGGTTTAAGGAGTTTTTCTCAACATGAAACGAAGACAGCAGAGATTACGCCATTTAACCAGGAAAACACATCTCCAATAAAACCAATCGATCACACAGATGTCAGGGTTGACGGTGGCGTGAGCGACATTAGTGAAATTATTGTAAGCAACTCAGATGATAACAGGAGATGTAAAATCGAAGAAGAATTGATAAGCATTTTGCAAGAAAGACCACCGGAGGTAGAGCACGAAAAATTGGAAGTAGCAGGACCAAGGGTTCCTCCTTTAGGTATGGGTCATTATCCTCCTGCCATTTTAGATCATAATGATGATGACATTGATGAAATGAATCAGCTTATCGATGATCTAATGATAAGTGATCTGAATAGAGATAATCAAAGTGATTATGATGAGGTAGATGTGGATAGATTTCAAGTAAAAGGGGCTAAAAATCCGGTGAATAATCGTAACTGTGAGGATGGTGATGTGAACGAAGGTGGTTTTTCGGTGGATTTGGATAATATTGGAGTGAATTTTGGCGATGATGAAGAGAATAAAATGTTCGAAATGGATAATGGTGGAAGATGTGTGGATGATGACAGAGTTAGTGAAGACGATGTAGATGTATATCTTGATGATGTTGGGAGTGGCTTACCTGGCGATAAGGAGGTAAATGAGGGTGATGTCGAGATAACTGTTGATAGTTGTGACGTAAATGTGGATGATGGTAGAGAAAATAAACTAAAGTTCGATTTACCTCAGTCAGGATTAAATAATCTTGAAATCCGTATGGATAATCATCCGGCAAATAATGATAACCAAGAGTTAAAGATCGGGAATTATTTAGTAGACTTGGACATTGAGGATGATGTTGAAACAAAATGGGATAATTGCAAAGTTAGCCTCGATGATCTTGAAGAAAACAAGAACGAAAGAATTTCAGATGTTGCTCAAACTGGTAGTCACCTTGAACGTACAGGGGTCCCGTTTGGTGATAGAATGTCTGCAGAGGGCAAGGATTCTCGAGATGAAAGTTTGGGGATTGATGTTGAATTCTCCATAGATCTGAACAAGCATAGCGAAGCCGTTCTCGCGAATGACCTGATAGGATTACTGCATAATCAGAAAGATGAATTCTCTAGTCAAGAAAGCCTTGAAGTCGAGGAGGAGCATGATTTGGAGAATAATTTTGTAGTAGCATGCAACAATGAAGTCAATCATAAAATAATCGAGATCGAAAATTCCAAAGAAGAAGGCATTTTGGAAAAGAAAATGAGCCTTGATAAGCACGAGATGAAACACAAACCTGAAGGTAACTACAAATTTAAAGTACTATAAACCAATATATTCGACTCTCATTAGTCCGGTCGAATATACCATAAACCGGTATATTTGTTCCTAATTAACTCGGTCGAGTATACCATAAACCTGTATTATCCACTCTAATTAGCCAGGTCGAATATACCACAAACCTGTATATTCAGTATATATATATATATATATATATATATATATATATATATATATATATATATATATATATATATATATATATACAGGGCAGAAAACTAAATTGTGCTTTTTAAGTTGATAGAATAAATTGCGTGATATAGAGGAATGTAATCAATGATTTTTTCCGGCAGAAACAACAAGCAACGTTAGCGAGAAACATTCCAGCACAGATGACGAAAATGGCATTCCTGAGGGACACCAATTTATGTCTGACGATAGTGAGGATGATGACGATTTTTGCAGGGTGTTGGAGGATATCAAGGAAGAAGAGAGTGAATACGAGGATTTGATGAGATACAAAGCTACACATGTTGATAGCAATGATAACAAGGTTCAAGAACAGTCAAATATTTTTGTTCCCAGTCCTTCTGTTCTCCGGACCGCGCGTTTTGATGACGATAACATGGATGCAGAGGATAGCGCTGCTAATAGTGTGAGAACATTTCTTTAAATTACTTATATATAAGTCTCCGTTTGTTTGTTATTAGTTATTTATTCGTGTAAAAAATTATCGAAAATCGTTTTACTGACAGAAAAATCAATGTCAAAAAGTTATTAGGGAAATTGAAACTACCCTGAAAAAAGCTTTTCTCGTCTCCGTATGCTAACAGGAGGAGGAGAGGACGCCCCATTCCTCCGTGCTTTATAGCAATCTATATCATACATTAACATTTTACACGTATTTGCACGTATTTTTACTCTAATAGCCTTCAATCTCAGAGTATGTGCTGTACTATGTATGAACAGCTTAATTTATACAGGTCTCGCGCAAAAACCAAAGTTGACGTTAATGGTGAAATACGTCTCGTTTAGCCTAGAGAAAACGTATTTCCTAAAAATGAATTTTTACTCTCGATTTCCTGTAGAGCTCCTTCTCGTCTTCCGTAATTATCGATCCTGGAACAGGGTATTGCAAGGCGGGATTCTCTGTTGACGATAAACCAAGAGTCGTCATTCCTTCCGTTGTAGGGATGCCAAAATCAGAGGTATTGTTGGTTCGACTCTCAAGTATTGTTTTTTTTCGTGGTTAAGCCACGGGGAAGTCGGATATTGACTACTAGGTCTTAGGAGCAAAGGAACTCGTTTAGCTTATAGATTTCGAAAATAATCTTCTTCTAATCGTGTGTCAATCCAATCAATCGAGATGACAAAAATGATGGCAGGTGAACATTTTACAGGAATGTACTTATGAGATGATGATGTTAAAATTTCACGTCGTTTAGTATTTTTATTGCCTTTTTTCTAGCCAAGCAACGTGGTAAATGTACATTTGCCATCTTTTCTGTAATTGTGGACTTCTTTTGTGGCGCTATACCTTACGACATAATCCTGAAGTTTTCCTAGGTTTACCACTAGCAGTATTTAGGGAATCATTTCAACGAAATGTTGAGAGCTGATAAGTTGGAAGTTTTAGACATTTTACTAGTCTATTTACATTTAGATATCGTGACAAATCAGTGAAGCGTATTGACTCTTACTGCCCAAATAAATGTTCCAACAAAAATAATAACACATATCTTCCTTGTAGAAATAGGATTTTCGACTGAAGTTATATTTCTTTTTAGGTCCAACATTCTGGACGTTACAAAGATTATTATGTCGGTGAAGAAGCAAAGCATTTACATCGAGTATTAAATTTACATCGCCCTTTAAAGAATGGTTTCGTTGAAGACTGGGATCTCATGGAAAAGGTGGGATTCTCTTTTGTATATTAAACGTTTTTAAACATTGAATATCGAGATTCAAAGTATTCCTTTATCATACCATGGTTTGGAGACTAAATATAAGAACAATACACTCATTAACTCTGTTATTGTCCAGGTTTATGCAAAAAATGGTTCCTTTCTCGTCACGTGTCTATTGTATTTTAGGCAAATTTACCAATGGCATTCGTCTTGCTAAGCTTCACGATCTTGACCTAAAAAATATGTTAATCAAAAGATTGCTATTGGTTTATCTGTGTAAAATACAATAGACATGTGATGTGAAAGGAGCAATTTTTGCATAAATCTACCTCAACATAGTTAATAGGTTGTATTGTAGTCTCCATGTTGTCTCCAAACCATGTATATTCTATTAACTGTGATAATAGCCCTCACAGCTGTGCAATTGTTGATCCCATCAAACTCAATAGACGTTATACATAATGTATTTCTTGTCACATAGACCAGCATTCCTTGCGAGGTTTACGTTGTCGTTATTCGTGAGGTTTATAGGAATGTGAATGTTCCTTTGTCAATGCACGTCATTTGTAGCGTTGCCATGGTATTACCCTATAAATAAGGTTACATTGTTTTATCATGATATAGTTATTGGATGAAGTATACGAAGAGCTACGCTGTGAATCGGACCAGTACCCAGTGCTAATAAGTGAACCAGTTTCCAACCCGAAAACAAGTCGTGAAGAAATGATACAAGTCATGTTCGAGACATTCCACGTTCCTGCTGCATATTCCTGTGCACAAGCTGTTCTCTCGTTGTTTGCCACTGGAAGAACGACCGGTATAAATCGCCTTCATTCTTTTCACTATAATAAAAGCATCCCTTTAATAACCGCCGCCCTCTAATAGAAGCCACCCTCTAATAAACGCTGCCCTCGATACTCTTTACGCACAATTATACCGTTACGCACAATTATAGTGTTGGTTTTAGTAGAAGTGAAAATAACTCGCTTTGAAAACATTTGTTTCATGCACTTCTTGTTAAGGGTTGGTATTCGATTGTGGCTATAGTCGGGCCCACTCAGTCCCAGTCTACGAAGGCTACGCGCTGTCACACGCTACCAACACGACCGAGTTGGCTGGTCGTGAACTGACTGCTTGTTTATCGCGCATGCTCCGAGATCGTGGCGTTACTATGGAAACGCACGCAGAGCTGGACATTGCACGCGATATAAAAGAGAAGTTGTGTTACATGGTTATGGATTACGAGAGTGAAAGAAAGGCGTACAACGTTGGAGAGAGAAATGACACATTTTACACTGTAAGGGTCAAAGTTGTCTTCTAGATGCTTATCTACATCCACTAAAAACCATCACATTTGCCCATGTCCGTTTCATTAGGATTGTATTCTGTCTCCATTGTTGATTAGGTCTTCTAAAATTTTCATTATGCCTGGTTTCCATTTACTTGTGAGTGTCGTGACATGTCAAAGTGACTGATGTGATAAAGTATTTATTTTTGTTTGCTGCCAACAATGAACGATTTGAATACAAAAATAAACACGAAGTTACATTCGGACAACTTCCCATCGGTGAAAATGACCTAATTGTTCACCGCAATTACGACAAAATGCAAATCATGCTTTTCTTTTATTCTGCCGGGTCAGACCTTACAAGGCTTCATACAACCGGCCTCTGGTACTGCGCAAACTGCGTGAAAAAGTTAAAATGATATATTCCTGACCTAAAAAATATAATCTGTCTTTTCGCACGGATGGTGGAGATGAAATAGAATCTAGCAATACACGACTACTGAAAATCGGAATACCTACAGTGGCGTAGCCAGCCTAACGATTTTGTCCCGCTATGTAAATTTCGAGTTATTATATTTGTTCATGTCTTTAGAAATCTATTGTTTTCACAGTCAGTGAACACAAAAATATTAGCATAGCGGGACAAATCGACAGGCTGTCTACGCTACTGAATACTTAGGTAGAAATATTAAATATACGACTTTTCGTATTGAAGATGCCGGATGGCCAAACTGTAGCAATTGGAAGCGAGCGATTCCGTTGTCCTGAGGTGCTTTTCGCGCCATCGATGATTGGCATGGCAACAGACGGAGTTCAGGAAGTTATCTATAAGACTACAATGCAGTGTGCTGTTGACGTGAGATCGAGTCTGTTACAGAATATTGTCATTTCAGGTTTGTTTAACTACGGATCAGTCTTTCAATGGATCAGATTCTTTAGGCCTGATTCACACTTGTCCTAAGAATCGAGGATCTACTGGGTGTCTCAATAAAAACGAAAACTATTGAAATCACCCATAACAATGTAATTGTATAACAATGTAGAGTTTGAATGCCTATAAGCACTCTTTTGGGACCCACAAGTATATAAATAACAGTAAAATGACAGTAAGGTTTGTTTTCATATCCACAAATGACTTTTATTACCATGCAATATACTATTAAATTGACCTGTTTTTATTAAGGTGGCTCGACAATGTTTTCTGGCTTCTCTCGTCGCCTCCACGTAGAGCTGTGCAAACTTCTAGGCACAAGAACTCCAGACAGCATCAAAATTGAGGCGGTCGAAAACAGAAATTTTCTGACGTGGCAAGGAGGTGCTATGCTGTCAAAGTTGTCTAATTTCAAATCAATGTGGATTACGTCTCTTGAATATGAGGAATTTGGACCTGATATTGTACATAAGAAATGTGTGTGAGAATACTGTGCTGTATACATGGGGTAACTGACATCTATAGCCTACTTCAAAAACATAAATCCTCGGTCATATTCCATCGATAGTATTATAGTTAACCAAAATCATGGTAAAAATTCCCTTGGTTGAAACGTTATATATTTTTTATATCCGCGTGTCTGTGTCCGCTTTCCGCGTTTCAGATAACCGCCTTGGCTTCTTTGTGAGTGTCCGACTACGTGACCCCTAAAGACAGTATGATTAAACAACAAGAGCATCATCCTCCAAAGGCGTTTCATAATACTGGGAAATTTAGGGAGAGAGCGGCGCGGGCAGCTTTAGAAATGCGGGTAATGCGAAGAGAAACGCTTGCTGATTAATGATTTCAAGATGGCGTTAGCTAATCCAAAAACTGACTACAAAATTGTTTAGCGCAGTTAAAGAGCGTAGTGATTGTGCTTTTTTTCTTTTGATCATCACGATATGCTTTCAGATTTATTCATTGATATTATTCATGTTACTATAATTTGAATATAATTTCCCTTCAATTTAATTATGTAATACATATTAAACGTACACAGTTCCATTTCACGAGACGATGAATTGATGATATTTACACCACTATCATTTGATTGGCTTGATTCAATCAAACCTTCGCGTTTTGAAATCGTTCCATCTGAAATCTTCTGAAATCGTTTCGTATTTCGCTTCAAATGGACCATATTTCAACAAGAACTTATCTCAATATTGAGATAAGTTCCGCTTAAATCTCTGAATTTCAAAGGAAAGCTATCGCAGAAAGTCGATCCGCTACGAAAAACAGTTTTTAGGCGGCAAAATTGTCAGTGATGCTACCAATTGAATAGGGATAATCGTGGATTATATTTGAGAACACTAAACCTTGCCCTTAGTATATAGTTTACAATTCCAAGCAAGATTTTGTGCATGACCGATCATGTGACCTCTAAACACAGCATGAGCGAAGTCAGCGAACATATAGAGCATCTGTCATTGTCTGCCAAAAAAACTGAAAGGACTAAGGGGCTGTTTACATGAGCCCGGTTACCCGAGATTCAGCGAAGCGTGAGATGATTTTCAGGTATTGAAATGAGCAAATAACATGATCCTGGCAGTCGTATAATCACTACAACAATAGCATGTGCTTGTTAGGTGCACTGATCTGAAATAAGACTGGATAACGCATCTATAGAAGGCAAAAGTGAAGCCGGAAGTGTTTCGTCGCCACCCGATTCAAAGGCCCCACTTTCGTATCATTTAATATAGATTTCTATTACAGAACCGTAGTTTTTTTTCGTTTTTTGCCTTGTTCACGTTTCTGCCCGGGCCAATTTGGAATATTTTGGCTTCATAACGCCGCGAAAACGGAATTTACAACTTCGCGTTTTGGACATTGTTTTATATCAACACCACTCAAAGCGAGCTCGTTTTTATATTTTGATACAAAATCAACTCAAAATATAGAATTTCTGCTCTTGGACAAATATTCTCAGAAAACCTGAAGAAACGAAGCGGCTATATATCGCGAACAGCAGTGAACCGAGAGGTTAGTTTTCAAAACACTTTTATCAAATATCAAAACGAGGACGCTTTGAGTGGTGTTGATATAAAACGATGTCCAAAACGCGAAGTTGTAAATTCCGTTTTCCCGGCGTTATGAAGCCAAAATATTCCAAATTTTTGGCTCAAATTTCTTCTCGTATGTTTCTATGTTTGTAATTGGAAAATTGGCCCGGGCAGAAACGTGAACAAGGCAAAAAACGAAAAAAAACTACGGTTCTGTAATAGAAATCTATATTAAATGATACGAAAGTGGGGCCTTTGAATCACGTGGCGGCCAAACACTTCCGGCTTCACTTTTGCCTTCTATAGATGCGTTATCCAATCAGTGCTTTGGTGTCATAAAGACTTATTTCAATACCTCAAAGTCCTCTCACGCTTCGTTGAATCTCGGGTAACCGGGCTCATGTAAACAGCCCTAAATTATCTAATCGATCTGAATACGGACGGTGTTTCTTTGTCGTTTTTGGAAGCATAATAAATTTACTATGTTTACTCGCATTCTCGTCTTCACTGCCTTCTCCATGGCGTGTTTGGCGTTGGGTAAGTAAAATATGGAATATTGTATTTTTACATCACTAGGAACATGAATGTAAAACAGATATTGTGTAACACAGACAAAGTATAATTTCAACTCGCTTCTCAACTTGTCTGAACAAAACTCTAAATGCGAGATGTTGCAAATATACAAACATTGAGATAAGGTGACCGCAAGATCGATCAGTGCATACATCAAGATTTTATATTTCGTGCTATAATTGTTGCCACAAGACAATGCCTAATTTTGAAATATTTTTTATGTTTCTTTGGTTTGCCTAGTTTTAATTTCCACGCGAGGATCTACTTTTCTGATGGCTAGCAATCTACAAGAAGCAGGCGAAATATTTCTCATTTCTCATAGACCAAATACACTATCATAGGCCGAATACACCATCGCAAAGTTATGGAAACGCTTACATTAACCGCACTTTCGGTTTTAACAACCAACATTTAGTCTGGATTTTTAAACCTTTTTTAGTTTCACGATATGAGCATTGTTGAATGTCACAGCACGCGTTGCTTCCTGTAGTTATTTTTGGTGCAAATCGTTGTATTTATTGTGTGTTTCACATCCATGCTGGGAAATCAGCCTAGAGTTGTTTGAGCTAGTCTAGTGCCATTTTTCAAAGAAAGCATGCTTTTATTCTTGGAAAAGCAACGCGCATCACGCGGGAGCACCACGCGCGAATATCACGCACGCCCACAGAGCCACGTGTTAAACTGGCCACGCGTGTGAGATCTTATCCTGAGATGCCGAGATTTTTGAAATAGCAGGGATTTTAGGGTATTTTATTTTCGGGCTTTTTTAGACGTTGGAAGAGATACACTCAGTTGTTGGAATTTAGAAGTAAAATATTTCGGTCGAATTAACAAATAAAAAATTATATTAAAAATCCGTCTGCCTCTCACTTCACATTCGAATTCGTTCTTGCAACAACGTTGCATGGCAACGTCTATTTTTACTACGTTTTCAAGTCAAGGGCCCGGGTCCAAACAACTCGAAGTGGCGTAGTTGGCTGTATGATACGACACTCGGGCGACAAATAAGAATTGCCAAACGTAAACACTTTTTATCCTCCAAAATGGCGGATCACTGCAAAATGAAAAATCGATGACACAGAATGTGAAACTTAGTTTTAAGAATCGTCTTAAATGAAACAAAAGGTTACTTGGCTGGATCTAGCTTCTTTAACAATTATTAATTTTAATCACGTATCTTGCAGACCCGCCAGTTTTTCTAATATAGTGAATTGGGGATAAATTTAGGGTCCATGGGTTGAGAAACGTAAGATTACTCGGAAATATTTGTTAACAAAGTGCTTTCCAAAATTGTGTAACATCTAAATCGAACACTTGAAAATAGTTTTCTGCTTGGATTAGCTAGTCTGAAGAATTTTCTACGAATTTTTTTTTACTACGAAATTCTGGTGTTGTAAAGAATTCCTTTGATCCTTTCAAGGCAATCATCTTGTGTTGTGCGACAAATTTCCCGACATTCAAAGTGATACCAGCGAAATCTTATCAATGTTGAAAAATTTCAAAGGATCTCGTAATCACGTGACCAGTCCAGAACAGAAGGAAGCTGCACGCGACTACATCATGAAATCTTTCAAGGATTATGGATTACATGTCTGGATTGAGAAAGCAATGATTGGAAATGTAAGTGATTATAGCTTTCATGTGTATTTTCTTGTCTGTATTTTGAATAATCCCCCTTGAAAATTGATTAAAATATTCTCTCTGTAGACGTTGCAGGCTGAGAATATCGTGGGTATGATTCGGTCATACAGAACAGGGACAGCTAATGATAAGATAGTGATCGTGGGCGCACATTATGATACTGTAGAAAACACAACAGGAGTCGACGATAATGGTTCTGGTGTCACTGCACTACTTCAAGTTGCCAAGAATATAGGTAAGTGCCAGTTGACGTTCAACTGTTTTTTTTTTAATATCAAAAATAGCACGCTGACGATTCATTCCAGCCAACAAGACGATTGGCCCAGGTCAAGACCTTTAATTGGTCAGGTTTGTTGTTGTTAAGGCATCAAATTTTCACGGGCCCGCATTAGGAGTATAGACATTTAGTGATTGGTTTACGAAAAGAAATTAACAGACCTTTACAGAAGGATAAATTGCATTTAATGATTTACTGATCCTTATGCGGTATAAAAGAGCAAGTATTTAAGTTTCCAACAAGACGCCTGTTCTCGCTTTAACTTCGGCGCACGTGCCAGTCTTCAATAAATTATAAAGCTTCTATACAGTTCATATTCATTTAGATGCCTTGCGAGCCTAATGTTCGATTGCAAAATTCAGAAGCACATCGTACAACTTTAAAAAGTATAGAAGTTCAATTGTTCAAAAATGTAAATAAACCGCATGATACATTCGCTTTGTCTTACACTTTGCCTTTGGAATTCGCGCTTATACAGTTATATTAAATCTTCAATCCTGTGCAAACTACGACGTTCAACGCGCCCATGCACGACCACATCTTGTTAAACGGCGAAATAGCAGCAATATTATTAAAATAGGACCAGAATCTACTTGTATTTAATATATTCTTACCCCAATTCAGCCTAAACTTAATCGAAGAGCATAAAAAGAACGGTTTATTTGTTTCTCTTGGAGGAATTGCAGTATCTTGCGAGCGAAATCGAATCGCGCATCGGAAAATTAGCCAAAGCTGTGCACCACAACTCTTGAGAGACAAGACTGGGACGTAAATAAATGCGGTTACATACACTTTTCAAATACCAGTATATTTCGCGCCATTACTAACTTGCGACGACGGAAAATAATAAAAAAAACATAATAAAAAAACAAAAGCAAAACTGAGGCGAATTTTCAACTCCGTCGCTGACACCAGTGTAATAGAGAGCTTTAGATTTGACTACGGCGCCCGCTAGATTCGTCACTGTGGCGTGAAAAAAACGTTGTATGGATACGCCACCTCGTACTAGCATGATAAACCTCTGCAAACACAATAATAAATGCAAGTTTATACTGTCAAATACTGTAAAACACACATAATCAAAGGCCACGGTCACGAAAAATGGTTCTCTTAAATTTTTTTTCTGGAAAAAACGAGAAAATGTAAACTTTTTTTGCTTTTTAAATTACGTAGAGAGGACTACGAAGTTTTCTTAAAATGGCGTTCTTAAAACGGCTACGAGTCTCTGGCGTCAATACGTATCACGAATATCACGTCAATTTGATGAATCTCGTAGCATAGTGGGAGCCGTAGTCAAATCTAAAGCTCTGTAATTATACCTTTTCAGTTCATAACGGTAAGAAATTATTAGGATCGAAAATAATGGGGGGTGAATATTCACGTTTTGCCCCACGGATTTATTTTGTACGTATACGCGTTTTCAAAAGAAATCTCTAGAGTAGAAATTGGTGATGTAAATTAGTAACGCAGTCGTTAAATCTCGGTAAAGGGAGAGGATATAAACAGCCTCTAACAAAATTATATATTTTTGATAATTTTACCTCAGGCGAAGCGAAATGTGAAGTAAACAACACTATTCTGTTTGTTGCATTTGATTTCGAAGAATGGACAGACGAGTGCAATATTTCTTGGCCAATCGCCTGCGGTAGCAAGGAGTATGTAAAAAATATCAGCAGTTACCTTAAAAAGACAGGAGGAACAATTGGTGGAGCGATCATACTGGAGACAATGCTCAATCATAATTCTTCAGAAGGTATGTCCTTTACCAAGAATTATTTAGGATGTCATTTCGTTCCCATATTCTTAATATAACCACGTTTGTCGCATCTGCTTCAGGAGAAACATGACCAAAAAAAAGTTATAGCTAACTGATAAGATTATAACAATCGGCCAATCGCCGCCGTTTGGGGTCTATGGTACCGTGCTCGAGGTTCGTATTCGGTGTTTCAATAGACCCACGCTGAAAGCTTTAACCACCAACTACGCAGGCTCGTTTTTTACAAAACAGACTAAAATAACACAGACTGAAAACCCCCCACTTTTTTCAGATATTAATTGAAAAGCTACATGAAAAGAAATACTAAAATTAACCAGCAAAACGATTTAACACTCGCCATATTTCCAAATTTTCCATCGAATTGAAATTTTTCGCCTGATTTTTTTAGCGTACCTTCTCCACAGGCGTTTCTTATCCTGCAAGCGGGCGGGAAAATTAGAGAGCGATCGGCGCGGGCAGCATTAGAAATGCGGGTAATGCGAAGGGGAACGCCTGCTGATTAATGATTTCATGATGGCGAAAAGTCAGTTAAAGCTTGTTTATATAATTTGAATATAATTTTCCTTCAATTTATACATGTTCATAGTTTACAGTAATACATATTAAGCGTACACAGTTCCATTTCATGAAACGATACAATTGATATATCGACATCGCTATCATTTGACTGTCTTGATTCAATCAATCCTTCGCGTTTTGAAATCGTTTCTTCCTGTTTGTCGGACATCGGTATACGAGGAAGGGCTACACCAGAATTCAAGGTTTCATATTTCGCTTCAAATGGATCATATTTCAACAATAGGGAGCTTTAGCAGTGACTACGAGTACGACTACGAGTACGAGATTCGTCATTCTCGCGCGTTGTTTGCTTACGCTATCAGCCAAAACTCGTAGTCGTTGGGCTTTTGAGTACGAGTTTTTTGATAAATTTCGTACTCCTGTGGAGGAGATAGGCTATCAGTCATGTAAATTATTGTCGACTTTTCAAAATTAAAAAAGAAGGAAGTGTGATTGAGAAAGTTGAACTGATTCACCGGTTCTTGATCAGTGAAATTACTCTGGGCCACAATATCGTCTAGAATCGCACAATATCGCTTCAGATAGCCAAAATATCGCACAGAATTGTGTAGTATAACCTATTATTTATCATGCTGTGAAATACAATCTTTTGGTACAAATTGATTGTTGTTATATTGTTAGGGAGTTTTAGGGGTTTTTTACTAAATCACATTGAGAATACCATAGTTCAGCTATTTATGGCAAACCATGGGTATGGTATTGTTTCAGAATTGACAATACTTTTCGGTCTAAATTGTTTAAAACAATATTATCATCACCACATTACACATGCGTGCAGGGAGTACATATGCAAAATACAATTAGTAAATAGATTTGAATATTGTCTACATTGGCTAGCCTGCATGCTGGGGATTTAAATCCAGTACATCGGGTTCAAATTTCAGCTTATTAATCTAAATACGTATAATGTTCATTTCAAGGCGACTTGACTATTTTTGGCGCCATTTTGGCCACAAACAGTAGATTTATTTCTTACTTCGTGTTACGTTTGTCTAATGAACTTTACGGAAATCTAAGGAAATCATGAGTCACGGAAAGTAAATGGAAGATCACCCCCTGCAAATATATAAATATTGCCAGAGGGGACAACTTATGGAAACGAAAGTCTGTTTGTAAGAATGAAGTAAATGATCTGTTTCATTTGCAAAAATACCGTTTCATTTGATCTCACCAAAATCAGTATTTGTCGAATCTCGAATGTATTTCAAACCTCTTAAGAATTTACCGCAGCAAGAAGCAAGGGGTAAAAATATTCACATCTACAAGGAACACTTATAGTAATGCATGTACTCAGTAAGGGAATATTTTCTTGGTTAGTGGCAATTTTGCAGATTTTACTTTGAAATGTGACTTTGTTTTAGGAACTATATTTGCATCCATTTATACACCAATTGACCTTTGATATTATATTTATCAATTATTGGACGAGGTCGAGCAAAATATCGTAATTTGTCGGTGGCGAGCAGATCAATTATTTGCCGATGCCGAAGGCAGAGGCAAATAATTGATCTGCGAGCCACCGACAAATCACGATATTTTGCGAGAACCGAGTTCAATAATTGTTTTATCATTCACCACTCAATTTTCAATTTTTGTTTTATCATTCACCACTCAATTTTCAATTTTGAGTTCGTTTTATCGGACAGTTCGGCAAAGCGAGTCGCCATTGTTTATAAAATTGACATTAATGCGCATGCTCAGAGTATTATTTGCAGCTGAGTATTATTTGCACGCAGTTAACTGCAGGTAAATTAACCAATCAAAATTGAGAATACTATAAAGTGAATGATAATACACATTATTGTATGTACTGGTATTGTTTAGGTTTCAATGGTGATAGTTATTGGGATAGTTATGGATTGAAGTATATATCAAATGTAATGACAGCTTTTTAATACTATCATTATACTATTCAAGGTATATTATTTTATTCCATCGGTTTATTTTGTGTTTTTCTGTTGCTATTTTACTAACACAATATTTGCTATCACCTCTAAGATATCTTTCATTAACTTTTTTGTCAAATATTGCCAGAATCGCCTATAGGAACGCCCAGCACTGCCTAGAATCGCCTAGTGATGCCTGTTTTTTTTAAATATCCTCCAAAATCAACCAATTCCGCAATTAATTGCGGCGATATTGCGGCCCAGATTAGACCTATAAATTAGTTAATCAAACAATCTGATTAACAATTATCAGTGAAGGCCCGGGTTAACGGACCGAAAGCTTTGGCAGGCACGTCGCAACATTGATAACTGGGGGTATATAGTCATATATACATTCGAGTTCTGCATTATTGGTATCTTTTGAAATTGATTGTTTTTACTGTCTGTGAACTTGGATGTTTGAATATAATGACCCCCCCCTCCAATTGTCGATCTTCCGGCGTCCCTGAGCTTTGCAGTATTAAACACTTACGTGCATGGTGTACGTACAAGTTAATCTACTATTTGATGTCACCATGCAAACTTACAAGAATATGATTGGATATGATTTTCAAAAATTTCTATCAAGTTCTGAAGCATCTCCCTTCAGATCCCCACTTCATCAAAATTGCTATATTTCGAAGCTCGTGTGTTACCACTACAAATAGTTCTTGTTTGCGAAACGATTAAAGAGGTTTTGAATTATTTTTAGGTTCACAAAAATTTCCACCTCAATTTGATCAAGTGTTACCCAAGACTTATGATGATGTCAAGAGTGATTCCTTCCGTGGAAATTTTCTGGCAGTAATTGCACGGAAAGAATCCGATAGAAAAATTTTTTCCCTAATTACGAAGTACTTCTCAAATGGTAAGTGAACAAGAAATTCACTCTAAAAGAAATTATAAAATCTTGATCTAAAATATTTGCCTTGCCCAACTTGCCTTTGAGTATGCCATACAAACATGAAAATTTAATACGCGTATGGAAATCAAACTTGGAAGACTACTTTGTTGTTGTTATTTTATAAAACAATTACTTAATGGTTTCCCGTGATTTGATGGCCTGATCAAAACACTTGGGAATGTTGATTGAATTACGAAAAGATCGTAAAATCATTCGCCTTCGGCTCGTGTTTCGTGCTTAACTCTTGCAACATTCCCGCGTGTTTAGATCAGGTCATTCAAACACGGGAATTATCAGTAACATGCAATGGTAGATTCTCTCATGTCACAACCTTTTATACATTAAAGGAATAATAAATTATTTTCCGCGCAGGATTGCGTGATTACGCAGGAAATTGCGAGACTTTCGGAAAGCGTGAAATATATAAAATAACTACAATGAAACGACGGTCAAATTTCCCGCGCAAAGCGGCAATGTAAACTTTTCGTGCAGGATTGTCTCATACTGCACCCATACGAACCAATCAAATTGCGTGTTTCATTGTAGTTATTATATAATTTGTGTTCCAGCATATCGCATCACGCACCAACCCGGCTACGCGATCACTCTGGTCAATCACGCGGTGCCCCGCTAATCAATTAATTTTCTTGCTAATTCGAGTCGCTATTACTGTGGCGAACCAATGGCATAAATATCGGACGTACGTTGTAAAGGAGATACAATTTTATGTGCGACTTTATTCTTTTGATAGATGTGAACGAGTAATTAGTTAACAATACTTAAGGGCCGGTTGTATGAAAGCCGGATAGCGCTATCCACTATATAGATATAGTGATTTTTTCAACCGTTTTAAAAATGCTTGAAGACCAATACAATATCAACAGTTTGGGACCAACAATTATTAAAGAAGATCCCCAATTTAGGAATGCTAAGAATTTTAATAGAATTTTAAGTTATAGCAATAACGGGCAATTTTAAAGCGATTGAAAAAACACTATCCTGTGGATACGGCTATCCGGCTTTGATACAACCGGCACTACGAAAGCCGGATAGTGTTTTTTCCACCGTTCTAAAAATGCTCGAAAAGCGATAAAATTTTATTTTTGAAAACAACAATTACTAAAGTGGATCCTCGATTTAGGAAAATTAACATTCAATCAAAGTTATACCAAACAACTGGCGATTTTGAAGCGATTAATTAAAACAACACTATCCGGTGGATAGCGCTATCCGGCTTTCATACAACCCCCTGATGTAAACGAACTCTTATTCGAACATCCGTGACAAATTCACTCGTTCACATCCATCAAAAGAAGAAAATCGCACGAAAAATCGCAGCAAAAAATTAATTACAAGTGTTGGTCGATTGCATAATAGATGTTGATTTTCTACAGTGATTATATAAAAATTATTGATTGTGTATAAAAAAGGTATACTTCGATTAAAATTGTAGTGACTAATTTCACAGATTCAAATTATCGTGCGCAGTTAATGGCTATTCCCATCCAGGGGCGACCATCTCTATCACCGCTCTATTTTTACTACGAGCAACTGTATCGCAGTGACCACTACTCATTTTGGGACACTGACGCATCGTACAGCGCTTTGATGTTGGGAGATACAGCGAACTTCAGAGGTTACATGAGGCGCTGTTATCATAAAGAATGCGATGATCTCAGCCTTGTTAAAGACGATGACCTTCAGTTCGCACAAAGATCAATGAATGCTGTCTTTAAAACTGTTCTTGATTTAAGTCAAGCTAGTCAAGGTAAGTAGTACTACTGAGAAAGTAACCGCATGTTCTACTGCTTGTTGTTTTTGAAGTTATGAATGAGAGAAGCGGGTGGAGGGATGGGGGTTATTATCGCCTATTCGAACTAGGTTAAAATCAGACTCAATAAATCTAAAATTAATCTATATTTCTAACAGATTCGTGCAAACTTGTTAAAAGCTTTGGAGAACAGAGCGTGTCTATCAACTTGTTCTTGATGTTGTTATCCTTGACTGGGATTTTCCTATTCTGACCATCACGAAATCGTTAAAAAACGACACTTGCGTATATTCAGTACGTTTTCTGTTAATTGATTTATATGATTCTACTCGTACTTATCTCTCAAATTAAGAATACCAGAAACCATTATAATATAGCTTACTCGTAATATGTCATTGTACCTACGCAATATGTCATTGTACCTAAACCGAGGGAATTTGATGAAATTATATTTTAAAACTGAGTTACATAATATTTGGCAGATATAATATTCAGTAATCTGGCAATCCTGATTACAATGGCGAGTGGTAGTTCGTCTGGACGTATCCGTCTGTTAGTGTAAATACGGTGTGGGGACGAACTACTGGAAATTGCGTCATAAAATGGCACCCAAATAATCTTTCTTCATCTAATTTTCTTTTACCTGATAAATGCTTCACTAATTACATTTCCAACGTCATTTTGAATTTGGACTTCCCTTTCAAGCATGTCCGTTCCTAATTCCCGTGCAGTTTCTAAACCCGCGAATCTACTTTGTCTGACATATTTTATCTGGTGTGTTTATACTCAGAAGAATGATCAATATCTGTCAGATCACGCGTCGAGACGGGTAATGCGTCTCTAGTGTAATAAATCAGGCCAATTACTCTTTCTTTTGTTAGTGAACCTCTTTGTGAGTCAAATTTTATGGTAAGTTTTTTGAAAATTCAAGATGTTGATGTCTGTGCACCATAGGGTTCATTGTAGCGCTCAATTATAATAGATGATAAATTCTATATATAGCGTCACTTGACAAATTCTATAGCGTCACTTGATAAATTCTATAGCGTCACGCGACAAACGATGTGGTGGTCTAGTGGTTAAAGCCGGTTTTCCACTAGCGATATTTTTCGCGCGAAGCGACTTCATTCTTTTGTATTTTGAGCAATTTGTTCCAGATCGTTGCACTTGAGAGCTCTGGAACAAAAGATTCGCGCGAAAAGTATCGCTGTGGAAAACCAGCTTAAGACGTTGGTCCCTCAAGCCGATGTTCTAAGTCCTGGCAATGCAAAAAAATGGCCTGAAAAAATTTCAAATCACATTGCACAACGTGATGATTGTGGGACCCCTTGTATGAACGACAAAAGTCGCTCGCCTGTTCTGAACATGTCTTCAACCGTAATGCTCGTTGTATATTGGTATCTGTCGTTGCGCTGGTAGAAAAATACATTTCGGCTCATTTTACCAAGAAAAGCAGAAGATAGTCTTAACTTAAGGCCGTAAAGAAGATATGCACAGACAAGTATTAGCATTGAACCAGGTATTAGACATAAATATGGGAATATGCAATAAACATGCGCGTAAAAATTCTTGAACAAGTTGTGATCGGAACAACCTTGTAGCAAGGTTGTCAACAAGTTGTAGCAATGCAGTTGTTTTGTCTGGTTGACGCAAGTTTGTTACTACTCAAAAAATTGTTGACAAGTTCATGATCTGACTGCAGCTTGATAACAAGTAGGCTGCGTCACGGTCGACTCCCAGTAGTGAGTGCGCAATATTCTCAAATTTCTCTTCCCACGTCCCGCGATATCCGACAAAATACTGGAAATTTATGCGAATTAATGCATTATGCAATGCAATTATAATTTAATGATTATAAATAAAACAATTCAAGAGGTTTGATGATAGCGCTTAATGTGTTCTGATTAAAATATTTGCATGCGTCTGTCCACTGATGTTTCTGTTGGGCAATGCCAATGGCGCTGGTTTACTTCGTCTTCAATCGTTGGCAAAAACTAAAACGTCTGTACATTTCATACAGTTTAGAACAGAGTGTTTCACAATAACTGCAAACGTTTAAACTCTAAAGTATCATAATTTCATCACATTTGTGATTTGAGCCAAGTGCGTGAACATAATATTGTAGAAAGGATTTTATATAGAAATATTTAGCATTAAATTTAACTCGACTTCGTTTCATACACCTTGACAATAAACACTCGTTGTTCCGCGGTCAGCTGTACCATTTCTTTTGAAGCAATAGCAAGGCTAATTTAAATTTAATAATATTCACAATCTCAAATTTTCCATCAGTATTTAGTATTTTATAAATTGCATTAAATCCCCACGGGCTAAAATTCGTGAACATGGCATTAAAATTTTAACAATGAATGATTTCAATATATGGTTTTCGCTTTTTTGAGACACCCTGTAGTCTAGGGGTGACGACCTCTCTCCTCCGCAGAGGCTTCAAATACAAATGGTCATGCATCTTCAATAATCTGGCGCATTTGCATTCGAAGCCTCTGCGGAGGAGAGAGGGTGACCACAATGGTCTCGCAACTTCTAAATTGATGGTTCGAATCCTGCATGGTGAAAGTGTTTTATCATGACGTAAAAGAGAGGGTTTAGGTAAGTTAGAAAAATATAGCTGTTGATTTCAAGATCTGTTGGCCCAAAGACAATCTTCGCGAGCCCATAAATATCCCGCTAAATGTCGATATTTTACCTTGTAAAAGGCGTGATTTTGGATGTGATAATATACTAAAAGTGTATTCAGTCTTTGCAAAACATCAAGAAATTCCTTACCATGCAGCTTAAGAGAAGTAGAGTTATTTGATATCTTTTGCCTGATATTGGAGTACAATTTCAGCTGTGAAATTAGTTGCGAATGTTGAAACATTCTCATGAATCTACGAAATGAATCTACCATTTTCCAGAAATTTTAATTGTGACCTGTGAAATCAGACTTGACTTCATCGACCGTAAACAATCGCACCGTGGCCATTAGCTTCACCTGGGCTACATATAACTAGTTTATGGTGAGGTAACACTCCTTTACTGAAGGGATTCCATACCTGTGATATTTCGGCGTCAACACAAATGGTTGCTATTGGATAAAGCTACGAATATAAGGTAAGTTATGTGCGTTTTAGGCAAGAACATAAATCATCATCATCAAAATAATTATGTACAATCCTTCGAAAACAGGTTTACTAAAATAAAATGTTGTCGTAACTCGTCACAAGTTCTCCTGGTAGCGGCGAGGCAATGCTGTCCCGGGTTCCAAACTAGGGGTTCCAATCCTACCTTAACCGTTTTCGATTATGAACTTCGTAAAAAGGATAAAGTAAATTAAATAACCATGGCTGTTCAGCATAAGATCTTGTAGTCTATTGGCGAAGGCAATCGTTTCCCAAGTGCTAAATCGATGGTTTGAATCCTACCATAACCTTTTTCATTATGACCTTCGTGAAAAGGATAAAGAAAATTAAATAATCATAGCCTTTCAGCACAAGATCTTGTAGTCTAGTGGTCAAGTTGTTAATCTCCTGTGTCGACAGTCGAAGGTTCGAATCTCGTTTTAAATGGAAATTTTCGTTATTAATATTATATGATAAGGTTATGAAGAATAAGTTGGTGTGGGCTTCCCACTATCACCAGTTAGCCTTGTGGTAAAGTCGTGAACTATCAAATGCAAGATCGACGTATCAAAAATAGGGTGGTACTTGTCTCGTGGCTGTAAAAGACAAAAAATCGCTAAATCGCTGGTTCGCATCCTATCATAACCGTTTTTTATTATGAACTTCGTAAAAAGGGTAAAGTAAATTAAATAACCATAGCCGTACAGTACAAGATCTTGTAGTCTAGTGGCAAGACAATCGTTTCCCAAGTGGGATATCCATGGTTCGAAACCTACCATAACTGTTTTCCATTATGAACTTCGTGAAAATGGTTAAGTCAATTAAATAGCTATAACCGTTCGTCAGGAGATCTTGTAGTGTAATGGTCAAGTCGTTGATTTCATATGTCGACAGTCGAAGGTTCGAATCTCGTTTTAGATGGAAATTTTAGTTATTAATATTGCATTGTAAGGTTATGGAGAATAAGTTGGTGTAGGCATCCAACAATCACCAGTTAGCCTTGTGGTAATGTCGTGGACTATCAAGTACAAGATCGAGGTATCAAGAACGGGATGGTACGTTATGGGATGGTATGATGTTGCTCGGGGGAGGTTTGTACTCGGTTAATCTTTGCAAATCAAAGTTAATCTTTAGGGAAATCAGGGGATAGGTAGGGTGAATTAGGGGTATATGAGTACAAAAAGACTTAAAAAGAGAAAAGAAATAGGGCGGCCTCGGCTCCCGGGGCAAGGAAAAGGGTATAGGTGAGAAAACAGCATATAAAATGTTTAAGTTTTTTTGTACTCATTTAAACCTCTTTACCCCTATTTATCCTCTATTTACTCCTACCTATCCCTACCTTTTCCTATCCTCACATACCCCCAACTATCCCCTAACACGATTAAATATTTGAAGAAAGCTTGCTTTGAAAGTCAGGAAAGCCGGGGGAAAGAGAACCCCCCTCAGTCTACTCCTCGCCCAAGGCGAGGGCATATTCGCCCTCTCGCTCTACTCTTCTCACACTCACAAATTCTCACTTTATTACCTTGTTCTTTTTCGGTTTATCCCGGGCTTGAACCGTCGGATGTATACTTGGAAGATCATCGTCTTCACCATTACACCACCAGTTCTTGTGGTGTAAGCCCAGAGTTTTTTATTTTACTTAATCCTTTTTGGAAGGATCTTTGATGAAATAGAAGAAAAAAAAACATCCCCATCTGGGACTCGAACTTCCGCCTTTAAACTCGGAGAGAACTGCCTTTACCGGTAGACCGCGCGATCTTGCGCTAAAAAGCTACACTTTTTTATTTGACTGAATACCTTATGGGCAGGATCTCAAATGAAATAACAATTTAAAGGAGTTCTTTTTAAGGTTCATGATTTTTTCTCGTCTAAACGCACACAACTGTATCTTATTTTTAGCTTGTAAGTTGTAACCTAATATTAGCCACTGGTGTTTAAAATATCACATAGAGTTACGCTGTGCCATAAAGCACCTTCTTTCCATAAGTTAGTTATATGCGGCCCAAGTGAAGCTAATGGTTACGGTGCGATTGTTTTGAATTTTTAATGAAGTGAAATCAAAGTAAAGTAAAAGAATTAATAATGCATTTCAAAATAGGTTTAAAAGAAAAAAACTGCAAGAATTAAGAATAGCCGAATTCATATTAGGGCGGATTCATATTAGAAACTCATCTTAGACGGGAAAGTTGATCGTAAGAACCCGTCTGAATATGAAATGGGCTATGGATGAATTAATACGTATGATGGTTCGGGTAATGAGTAATCATTACGGTAATAATTTTGTTTAGTTTCCCTTAGCCTTGTTCCGCAACGCTTGGCCTTGGCCTACCACGCTTGAATGACGAGAGCGG